TGTATTCGGGTGCCTCCGTTCTGATTTATACATTTTATGTGCAGTGCAGTGCTTCGACCGTACTCACACTACCGTCTCCACCCAAATACAAAGTATGGTCATTATTGCCGTACCTAGACTGTATGTCGCCAAACATACAGCTATATGTGCAGTGCAGTGCTTCGACCGTACTCACACTACCTTCTCCACCCGAATACAACATATGGTCATTATTGCTGTATCTAGACTGTATGTTGCCACAAATACAGCTATAATAAGTATTAATAACCGTACGTCGTATTCGGGTGCCTCCGTTCTCATGTATACACTCTATGTGCGGTGCAGTGCTTCAAGCGTACTCACACCACCGTACAGTCATTATTTCCATATCTAGACTCTATGTCGCCACAAATACAGCTATAATAACCGTACGTTGTATTCGGGTGAAGACAGGACTTTTCCCACTTCTCTATGGACGTAATTGCAATCAGATGCATCAACGACCTGCGGTCGTGAAAGTCCTAGTGTGAGTTTGCTCTTCTTTAGACATCAGGACGCCTACTCACCCCTCCCTTTCAGGCAACAGTTCAAAAAAAAAAAGGTAGAAACAAATACGCTGGTGTCAGCGTTTGAGATTTGCATGGGAAGAAAAAAAAACAGGTGACAGCAGCTTCGGGCAGGCAGACAGTCATTTACTGCAAAAATTAGCACACAATAGGGGTGAATTTTTTTTTGCCGATTTTTAACTCAGGCCCTCAGCAGACCGCGGCCCTACCCTGTTTTTTTTTTTTTTTTTTTTTTTTTTTTTTAATGAACCGTGCTCCATCTATTGGTGGGGAGCAGCACCTACTGGAAAACGGGTCCAGCGTCCCAGAACATTGTATCCATTGACATCCGCGCTTATTACGAAGTGCAGACTGACTTTTTTTGCTTATATCACACACACCCAAGTCCGAAAAAGCAAATGGTGTCAGCGTTTGAGATTCGCATGGGAAGGAAAAAAACAGGTGACAGCAGCTTCGGGCGGACAGCAGATCGGAACTGCAAGATTAGCATACAATAGGCCCAAATAGGGGTTATAGGGGTAATTTTGTTTTTGGAAATAACAGCGTACGTGGCATGTTTTTTAAGAAACCCTAAAGGCAAAACAAACTTGCGCCGGCAGAGAAACCACGCTTTGCCTTTAGGGTTTCTAAGAAAAACACAGAGAAACCACGCTCCAACTCGAAATTGGAGTGGAAACAAACTCGGTCCAAAAGTATCCGTTGGGCATTTTCTTTTTTTTCTGTTTTCCACTCCGACACCACGGCCGAGCCCTGTAAATATGACACTCGGTCTAACACCACAGCAGTCGGTACTTCCGTGGCCTTTTCGAACTCAGCACGGTTTTCATTGCCAATGCATGTTTTTTCCCCCCATTACCCCCTTTTTTTTTGCCGTTTTTAAACTCCGGCCCTCAGCAGACCGCGGCCCTCCCCTGTAGTTATGACATCCCCGCTTATTAGAAGTGCAGACTAGCTTTTTCTGCTTATATCGCACACGCCAAGTTCGGAAAAGCAAAGCCGGTACTTGTTTTTTGTGCCCATTCGCGAACTCATTTTCTTTATCTGCACAGTTGGCTCAAAAAAATAAAAAAAGGCGGCCTACTCTCTCAGCCACAGTTGCTATCTGCTTGCGGAAGTTGCGGTAACCTAAATGCTCAGAGTTTATGCACAGAACATTCACAGCATTCACAAATGGTCATAATGTTTTTTCAACTTTTTCAACTTTTTTCCCTTCCCCAAGTTGCTCAGTTTTACATGAGGGAAAGGAAAAAACAAAAACCATAAGAACACTGACCTTTTTTTTTTTCTCTTTTTTTGGGAAGAACACTGTAACCTCATTGTGGCTGTGACACACCGATGACTTTTTTTTTCCAATTTTTAAAAGAACAAATGCGCTTGACAGATTTAGGGTCGCCTTTCTGCTCCATGTTGGGAACTGCTCAAGTTGCCTGCTCTAAACGTTGGGTGCGACTCCAACTTTTGTCCCTTTGTTTGGGGGGGGGTTGGGGGGGGGCGGGGGGGAAGCGGAGAGTAGAAACTGCTGAGTCTCGCAAAAACATAACTAAGGACCTCAGAGTCTCTTCTTTTGGTCCCCAAGGACCAGTCCATTTGCAGCGTTCCGAATGCCCAATCAACAATTTAAGCCACTCTGAATGCTCTCAACAAATCCCACCAGCACTTGGCCCAGCTACCGGCCGCAGGAAAAAATAGAGTAGAAACGTTTCTAGTCAGATGAACTTGGTCGCTTCTGTAGTGACCCATACATTTCTTAAAACCGTGGCTTGTTATCGGGCACGACTTAAGGAAGTACTGGTGCTTACATAGAGTGGAGACGGTACTTGTGTCGACCAAGTCTCAAATGGGAAGGCAAGGCACCCACATCCTTCCCAATTGTGAAAATGCTCAATGAGGACTGTGCAACGAATGCGGCATTCGCATGAGAACACGGAAGGGGAGGGAAAGGAGATACACCCAAACAGCAACTCCCTTGCACATGCATAGACAACGAAGAACACGGAAGGGGAGGGAAAGGAGATACACCCAAACAGCAACTCCCTTGCACACGCATAGACAACGAAGAAGATGAACTTGTGACAAATTGCAAAAGCGACGAAGACACTCCGACCACAAACACAAAAAGCAAACGCCAACCTGGCGGCCACATTCATGACCATCTAGATTTCATGAAAAACCTACTTAAGTTTCTGAAATTTTGATACCGCCGCTACGGCATATGTCCTGACGATGACGCTGCATTAATTTTCATGCCTGCCAGACCAGTCTTAGGGTCGGACACCCACTGCATGGCAGCTGCCATGCGCTTAAAAATTGTCCGCACACCAAAATCGTAGCCCCCAGTGGCGAGAGAAATCGAGACACCACCGCAGAAGAAATTTCCAGCAGGACCTGGTTTGTCACTCCAGGTTACCCGATTCCCTGTTCAGAAAGTAAAGCTCTACCTGTCTCTGCCCACATCCACTCCCTCTGTCCCCTTGCCGCATGGAATTGCCAAACGGAAAGAGATGGGTCACCCCCCCCCCCTACTCCCTCAGGATGGCCATCGCACTCGGAAGCCGCTGTGCAGAACTGAGTGAAAACGTCTGCCATGTAGTTTGGCCACTTACTGCTGACAATTGTGGGGTCTCAAAAATCGTTGTTGCGGAGGTTGTGCCCACGATAGTGTGAGTCCGACCGTTAGGCTTGGACCCCACTGGCCGGCAGCTGGAAAAGCTCCTTGGCCGCAAAAAACTGCCCAGCGTCGCTGGAAAAGAATTGGCACGTTTCAAAGTGACCCCACCGCCAACGTCTCGCGAGGCTCTGGAAACGGCCAGGCTTGCCGCATTAGGAAAACGGCAAGCGGCCCCTTCCAAAAAGGAAAGTGTGGATGGCCCGCTTGGACCAGCGGCCATGTTACCTCCTGCTGCCGCTCGCCTTGGTCCAGCCGGAAGTCCGTGCGGCCACCGGCCTTCGATGCCAACGGATGGCACTTTGCCCTCCCTACCCTGCTGGAGGGGACTTTGGAAAACAACTGCCTGTTTCTGGCGGATACTTTTCCAGCCGCCAGCCATGTCGAAACACGGCCAACAGTGTTTCCAGAACGGCGGTGCGGTCTGAAATTGAGGTCGGCATTCCCCAAAAACTATTCCTCGCGGCCTGGTGGGTTCCCAAAATGATATCAGGGGAAAATGTTTTCCAGGCCGCCGGCCAGTGGGGTCCAAGCCTTTGTGTACGTGATACACTAAGACTGACGGGTTCATAATGGAAAAGGACAGACTATTCTCACGCCAGATATTCGTCAACATTCTTTTCCTTTATAAACCACCCATACAGGTCTTGCATTTATGATGCAACAGCCCCCTGGTACTGGTACAACTCGTAATCAATGGGGAAATTGGTCTTGCATTTATGATGTGACGGCACCCTGCGACTGTTACAGCTCATAATCAACAGGGAAATTGTCAGCGCACCACAGAAGGGTCTCATGAACTGCTGGTGTACAGTTCCCAAGGGTAGTTCGTTCAGACTCCACTTGCAGAAAACACAGTGCCCTTCTTGAAAAGAGATCATGGAGCGCTCGCACACACACACACACACACACACACACACACAGAGAGAGAGAGAGAGAGAGAGAGAGA